GTAATTCCACTTCACCTACTAATGTCACAGATGAATTTCAGTTAAGCTGGTGGTAATGAATATTATTTATGCAGCATTACTTTTCTTACCTAGTAAATAATACAGTAACTTTGTAGTAATGCTAGATTGCATCTTAAAACAAGATGTGTAAGTGAAACACTTTGGGGTCATTTGAAAGAACTTTATTAGTGAAGTATGCATACTAAATACGAAGTCTCCATCTCCTATGGTTCAAAAGGTATTGCGAAAGTTTGAAAAAGCTATTTTTAGCATATAGTTTACAGTCAAGTTCACAAGGTCATTGACCTTGGGGTCATTTGTAAGAACTTAATTAGTGGAGTATGCATACGAAAAATTAAGTCTGTATCTCCTATGGTTCAAAAGGTATGGCGAAAGTTAAAACTATTTTTAGCATATAGGTCACAGTCAAGGCCATAAGGTCATTTGTTCGAGTTTATCTAGTGAAGTATGCATACCATAAGGTCATTTGTTCGAGTTTAACTAGTGAAGTATGCATACCAAATATGAAGTCGGTATCTCCTATGGTTCGAAAGTTACATGTATGGCAAAAGTTTGAAAAAGATATTTTTAGCATGTACGTCACAGTCAAGGTCACAAGGTTATTGACCTTGGTGTCATTTGAAAGAACTTTATAATTGGAGTATGCATACCAAATTTAGTCTTTATATTTCAAGGTTCAAAAGTAATGGCGAAGGTTAAAGTTAACAACAGACAGACAGACAAACAGATAAACAAACAAACAGATAAACAGACAAACAGACAGGACAAAAACAATATATGCCTCGGATATATCGATCAGGGCGCATAAAAATGGTAGTTCAAATGCAAAGCAAATCACTTCATCGGATGTGCAATGCTATGGAATTCCTTCAAAAATTTTGCCTATGGTCATTGTCATGATAAGAGTGTAAAGGATATTTATACAAAAATGGTAAATTTCACATCCCATTTCAGGAAAGGATTAAAGAATAATTTTATTACACCAAACAAGAATGTAAACAATGAAACACGAAACTTCAGTTCATATTTTTTTTTGGATAATAGTATACTGAAACGATCTATTTATTCCCATAATGCCTTACCATGAAATCAAGCATGCGCATCCCACTACAAATATCAAATGTAGTTCCTACCGATAAAAAGCACTATAGTAAAACATATAAAAGTATAATGGACAAGTGAAAATAAAAAGCACTTTTTGATATATTAATGTACTTTCATTTAATTAAGCAAAATATTTGATAAAACTTCTTATTTTAAAACAAAATGTTGAAAAGTTCTTTAAATTAAGTTTTAGATTTAATTCGAAAATAAGGAAAAATAACTAATGCTAGTTGGGCATTTTATACAATTTGACATAGCATTACCAGGAACCTTGAGTCTTTAGGAATAAGGTAAAAAGTTGAAGTAAGCAGTTTGAGAAAAATAAATATTCTCTCATCATACAAAATTAACGTAATTAGAATCTGCCGAAAAATCAAGGGTCGTACAACCTAGATCTGTTTACTTGTACCACGTGAACTCTAAAATGGCACGTGCATACAATGTAGGGTTTACAATTATAATGAAATAATAGGTAAAAGCAATTCTCAGAATAGAAATATCATTAAGTCTCCGGTAAATTAACAATAGTTAACATTTTAGTCTGCATTCAGACCAAGGATCACTTCATTATGAATAGGGATCTTTTTCTCTAAACCTTGTCGGTTTCCGTTCCTATTAATGACATTAGGCTAAATACATACCGTATAACAATTTGTTTTCCTATACCTTTATTTCAGTGAGTGGAAGTAGGAGTAACCCTTTCATTGATTTTCTGATTTTTTTTTTTATCTCCAAATGTAATAATTGATATTTGTCTTTACTTATCATTGTGCATAATTGCAATGTGTACTGTCTCTCAAATTGCATTCGTTATGTCTAGGCTATTTATCCGTGGATAGAATAGAATAGAACATGTCATTAATGTGTGCAAATTAGCCTAAATGAAATCCAAAGGAGTACAGTTATTGATATATGTAGCCAAAATAAATGTGATTAAATTCTAAGGGATGTATACAATTGAAATTTATCGCAGCTCAATGCTACCAAAAATATATGTATCTAAAAACACAGAGTGAGTTATTCTTGTCCTCGGTGAAAGTATGCTGAGGTTTGTTCCGCCTGACTGACAACTGTACATTGGATTGTTACGATTTGATATCTCCTTAGTGTTTCTAATATCAAGAATGGGCATGCTTAAAAGATAGATAATTGAAGGGAAATACATAAGTCAATAAAAAAAAAGTAAGAAATAGTTTTTGAAAAGGCATTTATAATTTAAAACTTTTAAATTGTGGTATCAAGTGGATTCGATCCTTCGATCTTAAAAAGAAAGTTTCCACGGTGTGAAACTAGCGCTTATATCAACTGAGTTAGTCTGACTATATAATAAAGGAAGGTATAAAGATTGATATTTAGATGTCACTTTTTCCGGGAAATTGTTCTCTCCTATAGGTCAATTCTTTTGTGATAGTGAATACATCCTTTAACATGATTAAGTGCAAATGTTGACGTTTTGTGTATAGGGGTACAGAAAGGAAAATCCACAAATCCTACGTCATTGCGGCAAAATGTCAAACAAAATGCCTTTCTGCAGTTCTAATACAATTTGCACTTCAAATGACAATAATTTTTATATGTCATAAGTGCATTTTCATGTTGAGTATACACTGATTTTTTTTCTTTGAAAGCCATGGAGATACGAGAAATGATATCAATAAACCTGTAGGGTAGAACCTTCGCGAGCCCCACATGAATGTCGCCGAGATCCCGTTTCTTCTCCATCCAATGATTATATTAATCTACCAACTAAATTTTTGTCAGGAAAGTTGCTTTTTAATTCAAGCCCTATTTTTGGTTTCGTTTTTCGTTTTGGTCGACTTTGTCAATGTAGCAGGCCTACCGGGCTTCCCTCTTTTACCATGCTGTTTTGTTTATGAAAACTGCGCATGAGTGTATCGCATGGAATGTGGAATCTCGAACACGTTGCGATGTATTTATTTATGTGCCATAAATAATTATTAATTTTTATGATATAATAATCAGAATTATTTACTTATGAAACTTGTAATTTTCTGATAGTGTATACATTTATGAGTATGAAAAAAATTCCAAATCCTATAGGAAAATTTTAACAAGTCTGATTTTGAAGAGATGCGCCGTATTGTCACTTTAAACAAAATCAATTCTCGAATGTTTATCTTCTCTCTATATAAACCAATCACATTAGCCTAAACCATTCATGACAAAAATTTGTAACACGTGCATTTGAGGTGGCAACTAAATCTTTTTCTGTTTACATTAGATAACTATTTATGAAAGTTTGAATTTGATTGGTGCTTAATTCTTAATTCGAGAAACAAACCCTTAAATTTTAAAATTTTGACTTTGATACTTTCACAAAGTATTTTTTTTATTTCGAATACTCTAGAACAAAATCGAATTGTGCATTCGTGAAAATATCTAAACTCTTATCCAGAAAATTCAAACACATTAGTATGTATATCGTATATTGTTAAACGTCTCGAGAATTTTTCACTCATATGGAGACGCCACCACTTGCCGGTGGAAAGCTGCAAATTTTATCCTATACTCGGCACTCAGGGCCATTGAGTAGGGAGGGATCTTTTCCGTGCCAGCACCTATACTGCGACACGGGACCTCGGTTTATACGGTCTCATCCGAAGGACAGGTCTGCACGTCCCAGATTCGAACGTGGGATTCGAACTTGCGACGTAAGGATTGACTCCTTACTCGCGCCTCTAGAGAAGACGCTCTTACCACTGCGACACAAACAGTAATAGCTTTTTTTTTTTGGAAAAGTCATCATGATTTAATGCTACAACATAGAACAAGTTTCACTTTTGCCTTATTTGACCCTTTGAATTTCTACAAAAAAAAAAAAAGAAAAGAAACTGCATAAATTTAATTAATAATTAAATCTTTGGTGACTGCATATCTATAAAAAATTACGTAATTTTTCTGGCTAGTCAATGCATTATGACGTCACGAAATGCGTCATTTTCCTCATATTCGGAAAAATCAACAAGAAATGGTCAATTTTATAGCTATTTTTCAATATTTAAGATAGAGCGCAACCTCTGCTCTAAAATATGCAACTAGTAAATGATAAAACTGTTTCTGATGATTAAAAGATATGTTTTACTTTTGTAACGTGTTTGCCTAGCACATATACTTTCTAATTTTTCTCAGGGTCTAGGGCCCCCTCAGATACCTTGCTGAGGAATTTGATTGTTGACTGGAACTTATTTACATATGCAAAATATACAGATATCGGGTGCTTCCCTAGCACGCAAATAAACGAAATAATTAATCAAACTGCCTCTTAATCAATTGGGCTTCTAACTCAGGAGCGACTTTATAGGAAGCGCCCAAAGAAACAACCAAAGCGCCAGCACGTCGCTTCTACCAGAAGCGACAGGTTACTCCTAGCTATACACGGACTGCCTTCTTATGCAACGCTCACGTAGACTGTTACACATTCAGTAAAACTGTTCTGCACATCGCAATGCAATAATGACTTATGAACAGACTTACATGTACGAATATCCTTTCGCTGGCTCTCTTATACTGCGGCTGTCTTCTACACTGGCACTCTACTGCATCAGTAATTGACTCTATCGAGTCTTGAGGCCTTATATATACTCTAATAAAATCACGTGACAAGCTCACTCGGAATGTCTGGGAACTCGGGGTTTTACGAACTCAGGGTCCTTTCGGAACGCCCTGTACCTTTCCCTTAATTATCTGTTTCCGTTACATTACCCACGCCTCAGATTCAAGCGTCCTCGCTTGCACAGGAAAATAAAACAAAGAGGCATATAATAGACAATTTTTCTTATTGAACAATGATTCGAATACTGTCAATTCCTTTGACAAGGTAAGCTGTATATACATGTATAACATCAATAACCTGCCTAGCAAAGATCTACTACATAATCTGATAAATAAGCAGGAGTCCGTCTGTTTCTACTAGATCTTTGGAGCTTCTGATCGATCACCGGATCATTAACACCCTCTCTATTAAAGCCTAACTCTTCCAACTGATCTTGTTGTAAGGTGAGACTTTCATTCTGGTCGACATCACCAGAATCATTTAGTTCTACCTCCCCAGACAGAATCTGAGGTTTAACCAATCTCATTCTGTCTACATGTATCACTTGCGCTGACCCTTTATTACCACAAGATACTTTGTACGTAAATTCTGAACATTTTTCTAGAACTTCAAAAGGTCCTTGCCAAAAGCTTGTTAGCTTTGGCGAAGTACCCATACGTCTGCGAGGAAAGAATACGTAAACGTGGTCTCTTGGGGAGAATCTCTGCCACCGTAACTTCTTGTCATGGTAGCGTTTTTGACGCATCATTTCCCCTTTAGTATTTTCCCTCACAATATGGTGTGCTTCTCCCAGTCTCTCTTGAAGCAACCAGGCCCATCTATTTTGTGGGATCGGCTTCCACTGTACCTCCATTTCGTATACAAGGTATAAAGGCGTTGTCGCTTCTCTACCAAGCATAAGGTAGTTCGAAGAGAAGCCAGTTGTGTCATGCTCTGCTGATCTATATGCCATCATGACATATGGTAACTGTTCGTCCCAATCTGTATGATTTTTGTTCACGCAGGAACTTAACATGGCTTCAAGGGTTCGATTAAACCTTTCCACCATACCATCTGATTGTGGATGGTAGGGTGTAGTGCGAGTCTTTTCTATTTGCAATAGTTCGCACATCGAATGGAACAAATCACTCTCGTATTGACGGCCTTGATCTGAGTGTATTGTATAGGGTACTCCGAATCTAGTGATGACCTGTTCAACTAGAATCTTTGCCACAGTTTTTGATTCCATATTTGGCATCGGAAAACATTCAGTCCAGCGAGTAAAATAATCTAAAACTACCAGTATGTATCTGTTTCCAGATTCTGTCAATGGCAGTTCCCCCATAATATGTGTTGCTAATCTATCCATGGGGAATCCATTCTGAACAATTTGCATAGGCGCTTTCTGGCTAGTAAATGATGGTTTTCTTCTGGCACCATCCATTTATATACCGACGAACATCTTTGTTAAGGCCTGGCCAATAAAATTGACTTCTTATCTTCGCAATGGTTTTGTTTATACCTAGGTGACCTGCAGTACGCTTGTCGTGGTATTCCTTTAGAATATGCCTTCTCTCAAAAATGGGAACTATTACCTGGAGCTTTTCCGTCTTTGTCTTTTGGTCTATGGTTCTCCGATACAGTAAATCGTCCTGAATGGTTAGTAAACTTAGCTGCGACCACAGAGAACGTAGAAATGCACTTTGACTGGCCACGTCCCTAAACGATGGTTTCTTTTCCTGATCCATCCAACGTTTTACAAGAACGATTTCTTTGTCTTCACTTTGGACCCTATGGAGATAAGTTTCTTGAATAACTGGGACGTCTACTGTTGCGGTTCTTACTTTGGGATCTTCTTTTTCCTTATCCCAGTCTACTTGGAATCCACATTGCTTACATGGAAGACGACTAAGCGCGTCAGCGTTTTGGTGTAACTTGCATTGCCTGGTCGATGTTGGATCTCTATGTCATACATGGACAGCACTTCAAGCCAGCAAGCATGCTGACCCTCTGCATTTCTAAAGTTGTTCAGCCATCTCAGCGAGCTGTGGTCCGTGCGCAAAATAAACTTACGCGCGTAGAGGTAATGCTTAAAATACTTAGTAAAATATACTGCCGCCAGCAACTCTTTTCTCGTCACGCAGTATTGCCTTTCAGACTTTGTAAAAGTCTTGCTGGCATAGGCAATCACTCGTTCTTTACCATCGTGCATTTGCGACAATACTGCTCCCATTGCAAAGTTACTTGCGTCCGTGTCCAGTATGAACGGCTTACTAAAGTCAGGATGGGCAAGGATGGGGGCACTTGTCAGTGTAGCTTTTAACTTTTCGAAAGCACTTTGGCAATCCTCACTCCAAACGAAAGATTTGCATTTCTCTGTCTGTTTGTGAAGGGGTTTTGCTATACTTGCAAAGTCTTTCACAAACTTCCTGTAGTAGCTACATATACCCAGGAATGAACGTAGCTCACTCACATTGGCTGGCACTGTCATTTCCTTAATCGCCTCAATCTTCTTTGGATCCGTAGTAATACCCTTCTCGGAAATTATGTGTCCGAGATATTCTACAGACTTGCAAAACAAGGAACACTTCTTGGTCTTTAGTTTCAACCCTGCATTTGCCAATCGGTCGAACACTTTGCTCAGGTTCTCCACCATGCCCTCAAATGTTTTACTAATGACGATGGTATCGTCCAAGTAAATCAAACATATTTTCCAATTCAACCCTGCAAGGACTGTCTCCATCAATCTTTCAAATGTCGCTCCGGCATTGCACAAGCCGAAGGGCATTACTTTAAATTGATACAATTCTTTTCTTGTGGCAAAAGCAGTCTTTATTTTGTCACTGTTCTCCTTTTCCACCTGCCAGTATCCCATAGCCAAGTCGAGAGTTGAGAACCACGAAGCACCACTTAGACTATCTAACATGTCGTCGATCCTCGGAAGAGGGTAAGCATCTTTCAAAATAACGGCATTTAATCGCCTATAATCGATACAAAATCGAGTTGATCCATCTTTCTTCTTAACTAGAACGATACCCGTGGCCCACGGACTAGACGAAGGTTCAATTACATTCCTCTCAAGCATATCGTCTACCAACCTATCCGCTTCTTCTCTCATGTGTACCGGTAACCGTCTTGGGGGCTGTTTTATTGGGCGTGCATCTCCCGTGTCGATACAATGCTTGACAACATTTGTTCTGCCAAGTCCTTCATCTGAACCAGCAAACAGAAAAGCATATCTGGATAACAGTTTATCTACTTTAGTCTTCTGTTTTTGGTTTAAGCAAGTTTTTGACTTTTCACTTAAGACCTGCAGCTCTTTTGAAAAAGGTTTCTTAAGACTGCTATCTTTATTTTCTCCTTCTAATATCTTTAGCACTGGGCTAAGCTGTCCCATATAAGTTCCCTTGTAAATCGTCTGTGCATCGGTCGATAGATTCATAACTCGTATTGGAACCTTGTTATGATTGCTGACCAGAGTTCTGCCAACTAAACCTTTATTTGAATCTATCAAATAATTTCTTGGCTCTACAACACTGTATCCACTTGGAAGGTTCTTGCTCTCTAGGACGCATACATCACAGCTTGCAATCATTTCACTTCTTGGCGGAATAGTGAACGATTCTGAAGCCACCACCCGATAACATCCTAGCATACCTTGAAGCAGTAAAGAATAATGTTCACCATTTATTGACATTACATTCTTGGAGACATCCAACGTACAATTTTGTTCATTCATGAAATCCAGACCCAGGATTCCATCCACTGTTATATCAGCGACCACCACTGTTCTCATAAAGTTACTCAAACCGATTGTTAAGGTTAACGTAGCTTTGCCAAAAAGTTTTAGAGGTCTACCTTCAGCAGACATTATGTCTTGGTGCATACTATCCAAAACAAGATTTTGATGAACCTTTTGAATTTCACTGAAGACATTCTTTGCAATGAGCGTAACGGTTGTTCCTGTATCGATCAACAATTTTGTGTCTACATCTTCTATTTTAGCTGAGAGATACATTCCAGCCTCACTGGGTCTATTGTAAGCAATTGGTTGCTGCTTACGTTGTGTTCTAATTGTCTTAGCAGAACCAGAACCATGACCCGGTGCTTTAGAGTTTTTGTCAAACCTCTTTGCTGTTTCGTTTAGCTGCTTCGATGGACAATGTTTGCTTATGTGTCCTTCTTTACGACAATTGTAGCACTTTATTGTTCTTGGGGGTTGCTGTGGCTTCTTGTCATTGCGACCCGTCCAGTTCATTGAGCTAGGTGACTTATTCTTCATTTCACGCATTTCTGTCTTAAGTTCCATAACAGAACTTTGCAAATCTCTAAGAGTTTTGGTCACCTCGTCGGTATTTATCTGGGATTTGAAATGAGCCTTATCGTGATCTGTTTCTGTAACTACACACAAGTGTGACTGGAGTCAGCTCTGACAAAGGCTTCTAATTCAACCGCAAGCCTTATAGCGTCGTTCAAGCTCTGGGGTCTAGCTTGTTTGATTCTAAAGCGCATGTCAGCATCAACTAAAGCATCGATAAACTGTACCTTAGAAAGTGTCTCTTGAACATCGTTTGGTGCTGTAGGATAGGCGAGATGTGTTAACCTCCGGATCGACTGTCCTAATTCTGGAAGCGTCTCGATCGCTTTCTGTCTACGTTCTCGCAGTTGAACTCGCAGTAGTTCTGTTTGATTTGCAGGGGCAAAACGATCCTCAAGCGCTTTAATCAGTTTATCATAGTTCCTTCCATCATCTCTTCTTAAATTCCCAAGCACTCCCTGTGCTTGTCCCCTCAGAGACACTGCCAAATAAAGACCTTTTTCTTTAAACTCCAACCATTCAGTGAAGAGCATGCCTCAAAGTGTGATTTATAATCAAGCCATGACCTAATCCCGTCATACGTGGCTGGTTTAATATAATTAGATGGCTTCTTTACAGTATTCTCTTCCTTTGGTTTTGCTTCGTTAGTCTTAGTATTTTCAAGAAAGCGCCGTACTCTGACTGTTACTCCTGGTTCATCCTCTCTGGCATCGATACGTGTGTAACTTCTTAAAATGGGCTCTTGTTCAAAATTGTCAATTCTTGGTGTTCCACGGAGAACGCCACTCTGGATTCTAGCCGAAGCTTGGTTAACATCTTCTATAGGACTTTGGGTCATTATTCCAGAGTCACTTCTACGGGCTGCGGTTGTTCTTATACTAGCTGGAGTAGACGTTCTCAGATCATGATTGTCCGAGGATAATTCAGAATGCTCGAGCGTCTTCCTTCCTAACCGTGTAATTTCGGCTTCCAACTTGCTATTTCTTCATTTAAGCTCGACATTTTTTTTAAAGCGACGAAACTTTACAAATAAAGAAACAAAAAAAATATATATATGAAATTTACTTTTTTTAAATCCAATCAAGCAACCAAATCAAGCCCCACGTTGGGCGCCAATTTCTGTAACGTGTTTGAAAGTTTGAATTTGATTGGTGCTTAATTCTTAATTCGAGAAACAAACCCTTAAATTTTAAAATTTTGACTTTGATACTTTCACAAAGTAATTTTTTTATTTCGAATACTCTAGAACAAAATCGAATTGTGCATTCGTGAAAATATCTAAACTCTTATCCAGAAAATTCAAACACATTAGTATGTATATTGTATATTGTTAAACGTCCTTCTCGAGAATTTTTCACTCATATGGAGACGCCACCACTTGCCGGTGGAAAGCTGCAAATTTTAGCCTATACTCGGCACTCAGGGCCATTGAGTAGGGAGGGATCTTTTCCGTGCCAGCACCTATACTGCGACACGGGACCTCGGTTTATACGGTCTCATCCGAAGGACAGGTCTGCACGTCCCAGATTCGAACGTGGGATCCGAACTTGCGACGTAAGGATTGCCTCCTTACTCGCGCCTCTAGAGAAGACGCTCTTACCACTGCGACACAAACAGTAATAGCTTTTTCTTTTGGAAAAGTCATCATGATTTTTAAAAAATAAAAATGCTACAACATAGAACAAGTTTTACATTTGCCTTATTTGACCCTTTGAATTTCTAAAAAAAAAAAAAAGAAACTGCATAAATTTAATTAATAATTAAATCTTTGGTGACTGCATATCTATAAAAAATTACGTAATTTTTCTGGCTAGTCAATGCATTATGACGTCACGAAATGCGTCATTTTCCTCATATTCGGAAAAATCAACAAGAAATGGTCAATTTTTAAAGCTATTTTTCAATATTTAAGATAGAGCGCAACCTCTGCTCTAAAATATGCAACTAGTAAATGATAAAACTGTTTCTGATGATTAAAAGATATGTTTTACTTTTGTAACGTGTTTGCCTAGCACATATACTTTCTAATTTTTCTCAGGGTCTAGGGCCCCCTCAGATACCTTGCTGAGGAATTTGATTGTTGACTGGAACTTATTTACATATGCAAAATATACAGATATCGGGTG